TCATTCAAACTCATTTATTTTAATATTTAATGTATGTCGTAATGTTCTTATGTATTAATATTACTACTATGAGGTTTCATTAATTAATTGAACTTATTGTCCGAGTAATATTCACATTTTAATTGATGTCTAAAGGTCACATAACTGCAACAATAAAAGTTTTACAAGCTGACAATGCAATATAGTTTGCGTGATTTTTTTCGGCGGGCGTTGGTCGCGAAACATTCGTGTATAAATTTATTTAATGTTAACACTTGCGACTAACATTAAATGGAATTATATAATTTGGTGCAATTTAAAAATAAAAGTTTGTTGCTCAAGAGTTAATTGAAATTCGTTTTTTTTTTTTTGCGGGAGGGGAACCGGCGCTGGTAGATCGAGGGAAGCGCTCACTGAGAAAAATAAGTGAGGCTTTGTTTAAATAGCGATATACTTCTTGCCATCGGGTGAGTCATCCTGAACTAGTTTGACCCGAGAAAGACGCGTATCAATACTATTACCGCTATCTGCTCGTAATGTGGGTAATAAAATGCGTCACTATTTGGACAATTTGACCCATACATTATGACCCATACATACAAAAGTGTGTCACTATTTGGACAATATGACCCATACATACAAAAGTGTGTCACTATTTGGACAATATGACCCATACATACAAAAGTGCGTCACTATTTGGACAATATGACCCATACATTATGACCCATACATACAAAAGTGCGTCACTATTTGGACAATATGACCCATACATTATGACCCATACATACAAAAGTGCGTAACTATTTGGACAATTTGACCATACAGTTTCTGAGTGCGCCAGGACGGAAGGGCGGCGTCATCTGCCGATCTTTGTGACGCGTCGCTATTTTTTTTCTTTAATTCCCTGGAATGTCTGGAACAATGAAGATAATTCTGCTTAATTTCGTTCAGTTATAATAGAACGGGAGGAGCTGCAACAGGTTGTGCTCTGTGAACTGCTACAAATTCTGAACTCTTGAAAAACAAAACAAAAAATAAAAATAACAAATTCTGAAAAGTTAATGGTGGTCTTTTTATGACCTCCCACAATTCGGCTCTGATTTAATTGAATGATGATGGTTATTCCATGATGGTTCAGAATATTTTTTTCTGTATTGCATGATTTTAATTTACTTCGTATTTTTACATCGTTTTTCTGATCACTAGTCAAGTTTTTGTATTATTTATTTTCTAAGGGACCATTGTTGAGGTTTATCGAGAATATAAATTCGTAACTTCGTCGATATCACAAGAAGGCCAATATATTTCATTGTAACAAATATATATCTATATATCCTCATTTTTACAATAAGAATATCATTTTTCTTATTCATACAATAGGTATCCTTATTCTTACAAATTCGATATGTTGTCTATTCTATCCAATTTAACAAAACTTTTCATAGGAACTCCCTAATAAATCTTTATATCTTCAGAAATGTAAATTCAACCACGGCCAAAACTATATTAAAGTATTTTAGAGCAATAAAATGCTATTTTTTATTATTTGTATCAATGCTTTATCTATTTCCAACTATTTTCCCTGCGTTTCTCAAACTTAAGACTTCCTCAAAACGGTTTTTATTTTTTTTTTATTAATATTAACCTAGTTTCAAATATATTTTAGGTTGATCCATAAAGAGTGTACACAATTTTTTTAGAGAAGTTCTTACATTAGTCATTTTTTAAGTAAATCGGGTTTCCGCTCTGGTATATTCTTTTTATTTTTCACCGAAGCATGAGCTAAATCTTTTTTTTTCTTTACGCGGTGTTCCACATCACAAATTTTCCGTCTCGATGCGAACTCTTCCATCCATGCTAGGTCTTCTTACAAGACAAGAGAAAATCTTTATTTTGAGTTACAAATTATGAAATAAATAAGGGTAAAGAGTGCAAATTTATTATTTTTTGCGCAAAACCCTCTTTTTAAATGTTCGAATAACAGAAAATGGGTAGTCAAATTGATGCCGAACATTTACAATTTAATATACATCAACATGAAAGGTTAAAATTCGACTTCAGTTCAATTTTCACGCAAACCCATTAGTGAAACCCATTAGTGTTTACAGAATCACGAAACGCTTAAGAGCAATTAACAATACTTGCGTATTGTTTTCGTGCATCACGAACCGTCTCCACGAATGGTTCTTGCTGACGCACTCATTCGTTTCTCCATTTGGTTACGCATTCGAAACTTCGTCAGGATCGTGCGTGGAACGTTCAAAGCTGAGCTGCTCTGCCGACCGCAGCTCGCGGTTTTGTGGGTTAAAGCAGACGCGCATTATGTGTAGTTCATACATTACACACACAGTGTACGTGCCTAATGCAACACTCATGTGTAGTTCATACATTACACACACAGTGTACGTGTCTAATGTAACACTCATGTGTAGTTCATACATTACACGTGGGGAATATTTTGCATAAATATTTTGTAATATAAACATTTTGCGGAAATTTTGACTGCCTTGGATGTTTTTGAAGTTCTATGCACTGTGTAATATTTTTGTTTTGGCGATAAATTAAAGTATTTCCATTGTCGTGACAAGGCAGTGTTCTCGTGATTTCGTTAATCACAATTAATTTTTATTCAATTGTATTAAATTAAAGGTTCAATTTGCTTCATTCCTCGCATTTTATGGTTAGACAGGACGCTTATATATTCTCCACAAAGAAAGCTGCAGTGCGACAGTGACTCGACAACATCGGAATCGCAGCGAGTTTTTAGATCTGATCGACGCTGCTTCATTAGCAGCAAGTAAGCCAGCAACTTCCTGTAGCGCTTGAATGTCTCGCCACCACCGCCACCAATCCAACCAAACATTGTGTCTACCATGGTTGAATTAATACAGTGTCTACTGCCACCTCGAGGGCCTTCGTTTCAACTGCTTCCGGTATTTCAGCAGGACCTGAAAATGCTTCAAAAATATAAATCTGTTTCATTGTCTAATGAAAACGTTTCAAAAATTTGCAACTGTTTTAGCAGAACGTGAAAATGACTCAAGAATATAAATCTGTTTCATCGTTCCATGAAAATGGTTTTAAAAATTTGCAACTGTTTCAGCATCATCTGAAAATGCTGAGGAAAATACATCTGTTTCAGCTGCACCTGAAACAAGAAATAAACGAGCTAGCAACTTTTTAATAGTGGCAACTAAAATGTTGGAATTTTTTATGCTGTAACGTATAATAATATGGGATATAACAATTTCTTTCACGTATAAGGTTATTTTTCAAAACCTGAAGCAGCGATAATTTGTTTAATCCGAACCTTTTTAATGACCATGGTAGCCTTGAATTTAATTAATGCGTACTCTTTACTCTTATCGTGTTATTATTCTTACATTGGATGAAACCAACAAGCTTATAGAGTATAATTAAAAACATCATTTAATAGGGCCCATAATTAAAAGAAGTGCGCACATGAAATGAACGGCCGTGCATTGTTCAAGTCTCAGCCTTCACCTAATTTGAGTTGCCGAGCAACCTAATGAGCGGAGCCACGCAGCTCATATTACTTGTTATGTCGATGTTTAGGATAGAATTTGTGCTCATTTTACATTGTTATCTCAAGCTTTAGGATTTGTGCTCATTTTACATTGTTATCTCAAGCTTTAGGATTTGTGCTCATTTTACATTTCAATTTACATTGTTATCTCAAGCTTTAGGATTTGTGCTCATTTTACATTGTTATCTCAAGCTTTAGGATGTGTGCGCATTTTACATTGTTATCTCAAGCTTTAGGATTTGTGCTCAATTTACATTGTTATCTCAAGCTTTAGGATTTGCGTTCCATTTATTTTGTTATCTGAAGCAATGACAATCAAAGTCTTTCTAATTTTCGTTATATCATGAACACGAAATGTTCTGGCCTGCTGTCCTTCTTTACGAATGTGGGATAGATTCTCCGGTTTAGTTCAACATTGTACATCTAGAGCATCAAGACAACCAATAGTTACTACTGCTGAAATATTTCAACTGTCTGCGAGTACAAGTCGTCAGTCACCTATGTTGAAATTGTTTTGGTTCACATGAAAGACCATTTCAATCGTGGAATAAACTAATGTAAATGAAAGCTGAACTGCGCTTCCGGATTTTGAAGAAAACTAAGTACTTAAATCCGTGAAGTTTCAAGAACCAATTCTGTGAAAGCATCGAAAAATATACGCTTGTATCTTCGTTAATATCTACATACGCCGACTATCAGTCAATAGTACGAAATTTAGATAATTACGCATGTCGCTCGATCAGCAGATCGTGGCTAATAATTGATGCCTCATGCAATTCCGTTCATGTACTTTTCATATATTTTTACGATAGCCAAGTTTTAACCTTCATTGAAATCCAGCGTCGTAGTGGCGTCACCGCAAAGAATCGTAAATTTTATAGAAAAATGTTTGATGAACAAATTTGATTAAATAAATTATACGATAGGATTCAATTTTTTAGCTCTTCGAGATCCATGTTTTTCGCTCAAATTAACAGCCGTTCTTTGGTAACACGGGCAATTTTTCGTTCGTGTAATGTAAGGCTTGCTTTTTACGTGCACGATTTATTCGGGGTTCGGTACGTTATTTAAACCCGTTGGCTGGAATATTGTTCCTTCTAATTATTGAAAGTGATTCGATCATAATTCATTAGGCTTAAGTTTTAACTAATCTTAGAAGAAGCTCTAATTAAACTTGAAGATTTAAATCAAATGCTCAGCTATAACACAGCAATCAAATCCTATATCAAATGCTATTTAAAATGCTATATCACAGGATAAAAACGGAAAAATTAAATTAAATTTAAATTGACGTATTGGGTTAGGGCTAAAGTGTCTCATTTTACGTTTTATTAGGCTATTTAGTTCCCTTTAATAGATTTTGTATACAGGCAAACATGCACGGATAAAAATTTTAGGTCCTTTCCACAATAGATGAATTAGCTATGGATGAATATGAGTCGGTTACTAATATCAACTTGATTTTTTCCCTCAGGGGAACTTGCGCGAGGGCGGCATGGGCAAGTCACCCTCATCCGAGGGCAGCGACAGGGACGGCGCCCCTGCAAACAAATCCTCCCGCCAACAGCTCCTCAACATCCTCAGGAATCCTGGACCTTATCCTCAGGTACGAATTTCTCAGTATATCCTACATCCTACGTTTATTTCGTTTTACGTTGATGAACTTTGACCTCATTCATAATGAAATAATTTTGCAAATTTCTTCAGTATTTTTATTCATGTGCTCAAGAATCCCAGATTTAACTTTCATGAAGAAATCATAAAATCTCTACCATAGAGTTTTTTTATTTAAATCCTTAAAAAACATTCTCTTTATATTATTGGGATTGATATTCTAAATCTCTGAGAAATGCCGTTTTGTATCACTAAGTTTTTAAATGTTTTAATCCGAGAACATCCTGGATAGAATATAGACTAGAGAGGAACGTTCTTAAACATTGCTTTACATAATACCCCTATAAAGCTTCGCTCCTAAATAAAATTTCAATCCTTATTTCTTGTTCATTCAATTTGTTCAACACAGATCATTGTTCATTCAATTTTCTTGTTCAACACAGATCATTCCTAACCTAGATTGTCCATTCATAACATAACATAACACAGTTGGAATTCTTATTGCTTCTGATCTAAATATATTTTAACATGAGCCACCCATCTACTCAATGACCTGCTCTACATATTATGGAGTCATTACTTCCCGATAATTTTAAAATTAGTTTAAATTGTTCCGTTTATTTAGAATCCAGACTGCGCTTCAAGCACCAGATTGTGTAGGTGCCGTGTTGACGAGAGTTCGTCCTTCAGATCGCGCTAACGTTGTTATTCAGCCTTCCTTTTGTTATGGCTGATCGAATAATAGGCATTTTGTTCGTCGACGTTTGTTGTTTTGGCCCTGAGCTACTAAACCATTCTACGAAGGCTATATACTAATATTTTTTTCTATGCCACTTGGGTATTCATCGATAAAAATTTCATTTATCTAATAACGAATTATAAAATTTGCAATTGTCTAAAAGAATAAATAATAGATTCATGTTTCTTTAATTCAGTTTTTCCTTCGATTTCAATTCCAGTTTAAACGTTTTTCATTTTGTGTTGTGAGGTAGGTACACAATTATCATTATTTTGTGTTTCCTGTGTTGAATTAATTCATTAAATTTTATATAATCATCGTTTCTCCCTTTGCCACGAACGAAAGATCTCTTTATAAAACATACCTTATTGGTATGATTGGCAGGCTATCCTCATGCCAATCTTCAAGATATTCGTTAGAAATTAAAAAACTACTATAAGTGAGTCGTTCCTATGAGTGACCAAGTGCAACATCTGATCATTATACCTTGCTGAAGAATCGTCGACGTATCATCGGTGGCCAGGAGTTGGGCGATCATCGTGCATAACATGAAATGTTTTTAAAGGTTCTGCGCGTGATGGCCTGGAGATGTTGCGTGTGTCGAGAAAGATGTTTGCAGCTTTCAGGCTTGTTTTTCCTTTTTCTTTTTATTTTAATTTCATGTTTAGTTGGAATTTTTCCGATCATTCTCAGGAAATATGATCAAACATAAATTTGCTGGAATTTTTGGCAATAGATGTTTTTACTTAGGATTAAGTATGTTTGCAATTATAGCCTCAATTCGGCTATAATTGCCGAGTAAATACCCATTGCGGTCACTCACATTTTCTATCCTAAGAGAAACCACATGGAAAAAATTCATATATTTCATTCCTAATTTAGAACGAAAAGATGTGAATTTACATTTCTGAATGTAATCTTTAAGTATAAAATTTATCAAATTAAATTTGTTATGCTCCATCTAACTATGCTACTAGCCTATTGTACTCGTATACATACATATAGGTTCAATATTCCCTTCTCTTCACAGGTTGTGTTACCAGCAAGTGGAGGATACTGGTTGGATTCTGGCGAGCCTGAGAACCATCAATTCGATTCATCCTCAGCCTCAACCTCATCGTCAACCTCATCAACACAACCATGCCGCTACCACCCAAACAACCCAACTTATATACCTAGTCAATGCTTACCCCCCTCAACAAATTACCACAATGGGCACAATTTCGATATCCCGCCCACTAACAACCAATCTAATAATCCATCAAATAACTTCAATTCGCAATACGCCAGTAATTATAGCTACAACGGGTACCATTCGTCTACACCGTCTGAAGTATCGTATGAATCATCACAATACAGTGACCATACCACCGTATCCCAAACCTCACAGTTTATTTATGGAGCAAATGGCCAGTATGTCAACAACAACGATAACGCTCACCATAATCAACACAATAAGAACGAATCTCAACACCATTCTGCTAATATCAACGATAATGTTTATGATAATGAACATCGCAACGGCCGACAGCACAAACATCAAAACTCATCATCATCCTGTCTTCAACATCTTCCAACAGCAACATCGACATCAAATGCCAACATCAAAATCGAGAGCGATGAGACCGCGCAGATCTACAGAAGACACTTCATGGGAAAGGTAAGACTAAAATGAATAATAAGATTGTTAAGTTTAACGAGGACATTCTGTTGACTTGGCGAAATGACAAATTGTGAATTGCTTATTGAAATGAGCCTCGACAATCGGTGCAATGCAAAGCGCTTTTAATAAAGTTATACTTCACCTATAATCTTGATATCAAAAATACTTCTTCAGGTAAAAGTCACTGTGTAGCTGACTAACACAATGGCAAATGTGACCTTGTGTGGCAAGTAAAACCTTTTTTTTTCATTAAACCTTTATTTGGCTTGTGTAACACAAAAGTTGCGATGTAACCCATGTGTTGAATTGTCACTATTTTGGTCCGAAACTCCTATAGAGGTTTGGATTTTTCCTAGAGGAAAAATCCTGGACACCCTATCGAAACTTTTATTCCTGTCAGCCGCTGGCACAAGGACGCCCCAAATTCTTGTTACGGTGTAAATTAGAAGCTCTATGTCCGCTTTAGGTTCCGGTTGCCTGAGCGAAATAAGCGCCGAAATGGAATCTTGTGAAATTACCCGTCGAGCTTGGGGCGATCGTGGGGCGCGCGTATTTAGTACCTGATACGTTCGGGACAGACACGGCCGAATCTGAAAAATGCGTTAAAAAAATGCCCCCTCCCTTCCCCCCTTATGGGGGGGAAGGGAGAGGGCATTTCAATCTCTGTACGTTATATATATGTGTGCGGTATATATAGTACTACTCGCTTAGTTTTAAGAGCAGAGCACAGTCTATCAGAGGCTCAATTTCATGCAAAGACGTTTACAGCTAGTAACTATTATGACATGACGTGGTTAGAAATGAGGACAATAATGGCAAATAAAAAATTCAATCGATGCATCAATAGCACTGATTCGAGGTAATGCAGGTAAAGCCTATTTCTCCTATTAAATCCATGTATCCTGCTGAATGAACAACGTTTTGTTGAAATAATCGTTGAATTCTTTGCCGTTTCATCACATGTAACTTTCGTTACATTAAATTTCTATTGAGCAAACGGTTCTGCAAGGGCCTCGAATTTCTGCGTCCATTGACGAATGAAAGACCATACAATAGAATGGAGAAGCACATGTTAATCTTAACAAAACATATTTACGGCACTAACTTGATTGCAGCTTTCAGTTGTTCACACTTCATAGCAAATTAGGATCTTTCTGCATCCATCGTCGGCTGCTGCAATGACAGTATTGAGTTTTACATAAAGTTCTTCTCACGCAATAAAGTTATCAACTGCACCTTAAATTCCAGGAGGGACAATCAAATGAATAGCAGAATATACGATAGTTATGGAAATCTCAATTCAGATGTTTGCTGACAGAGGGGCTCCTTGGTATCGATAGTTCATAAACTATCTTCTGCTTGAGCAATAAGCTCACGCATGCAGACATACGCCCAAAGCTGAATAGTTCTTTTGCTAAAGAAACCATTTGTCTAGTAAAAAATTTTACCGTGGTCTGAAAATACTGCTTGCAACCGTTGCAAAATGATGAATAGAAGCATTTCTAACGTCTAATACCATTCCAATGTTGCTGAGCTCGATGGAAATTCCCTGAATCTATACTCGTATACTTTGTAGTTTTTCAGAAATAACCAAATTCATCCTTATACTTAAATGTAACTCCACAATAAAACCTGATGATACAAGAAAATATAGTAGATAGAACAGAACATGAGCAACTAACTTACTTGCGAGTAATCGGTAAACGCTCTGCAACCTGCTCTGCAACCTGTTACATCCTGTTCAGCTGGCCCTCCCAGTGTTATCGAATGTTGTCTCTCGGTTAGGTAGCATCGTAGGCAACGATAAACTTTCGAGTTTCGACTACACAAATTGATCCAGTCGACGCGTTGATTTAGAAATTAGAACCTTAAGCATTTCCATGAAACTACTCAAAATAGCTCCTATTTGGCGGCTAAATAGAAGAGGCGGCCATTTCGCATCTGATTCATCTCTAATCCGAGAGTCGCAACCGAAATAGGAAGGATAGCCGCGCGTAAATTTTGACAGGGGGGCTACCTACATCCGTAAGGAGACGATATGTTGCCTTGAGAAAAAATATCTAGCTTCAATGGCAGCTGATTTTATAAATACAAATGAACGCCGCCCTTGAAACGATGAATGGCACCAGTTGCTCTCCTAGTGATACCTAGGCCACCCAGTTAACTACTCCGGTAGCCATCTAATAATGATCTTCATTCGTAAGTTATCTTATGTAAGTAGTTTGAGACCAGATGAGAATATTATGCTAGGTATGGATTAAAATTTTATTTTATTTCGTGCTTCCAGCCATGTACTTAAATCTAAATAAACTTCGCCTTTTAAAAAGGACCAAAAAGCTGACAATATAGATGTTCAGATGTATTCATATTTCATTCGAAAATGTTTGATCAGCCCAACCTCGAGACCCACAAGCCTACACATTGAAAATAATGGTACGTTGAAAAGTTCACAACGGGGCCAGAAATTGTTCAATGTTGAAAAGTTTACATAGGGGCCTTCATGTACATCAGTTATCCGTGGTTCAGAAGTATTATAGAATTATTTAAAACAGAAATGTTTTAATAATTATATTAGAATTATTTAAAACAGCAATGCATTTAAAGATTGTATAGCGCACACAATTCCTAAAAGTCAGCGAGTGAATGCCATCTAGCGAGGCTCACGTAGTAAACGAGGCTCATCGTTCACTGCGTGTACATATAACACGTTTGTACCTGACTGACAGCGTCTACTAGCTGGTACACGGTACACGGTACACCGTGTACCGTGTACTCGATCGTTCGCTGCGTGTACGTGTAACACGTACGTTTGTACCTGACCGACAGCGTCTACTAGCTGGTACACGGTACACGGTACACCGTGTACCGTGTACTCGATCGTTCGCTGCGTGTACGTGTAAAACGCTTGTACCTGACCAACAGCGTCTACTAGCTGGAGCTAGCAGCACCGTGTACCGTGTACACGATCGTTCACTGCGTGTACGTGTAAAACGCTTGTACCTACCGCCCTCTGACAGACACTCGTGCAAAAATGTGTTTCATAAAGTGTGATTTAAAAAACTCTGATATTGTTTGAAAAAGTATCCTCTTCACGCTAAAGAGTACAAAAAAATCAGTGGTCTATGGCTGACATTAATAATGCAATTTATTTACTTATTTACATAATTTACTGACGTGAGGTGGTAGCCGGCAAGCAGGCGGCTGCTGTAGCACATGTGTGGGGCAGCGAGCCTCTCTATTCAACAGTTTCATCAACATTCTTTTGCAACAAACATCAATTACGCTTCTCTCCTTTACAGTTCCTCGTGATCAGACCAGATTAATGGCGCTCCCACACTATTCCAACTTGTGATCAGATCAGATTAATGGCGCTCCCACACTTTTCCAACTTGTGATCAGACCAGATTAATGGCGCTCTCACACTATTCCAACTTGTGATCAGACCAGATTAATGGCGCTCCCACACTATTCCAACTTGTGATCAGACCAGATTAATGGCGCTCCTACACTGTTTCAATTTGGTACTCGCTCACCATATCACTTTATTTTCTAAGCAAAACTTAGAAAATGATTTTATATCGTGCTTACCGAAGAGATGAGGGCGAGTGGGATGAGGGAGGTGCGGTGTTCCTTTGTCATGATTTTTCAAATGTTTTTGTCACTAATTAGCTATCTTAATTTATTTAGAGTATCCCTGCAAATAAATTAAAGCAGGCTGGTGAAAATTCTTGGACTCAATCATACCCTTTTTCACACACAGCCTTTTCAGTCCCTTGACAGCTTTTTCAGTCCCTTCTTCAATCCTAACTTTCGATGTACTAATCCTACACTTTTTTCAATGAAATCAAAATAAGTGTCTTTCAGTCTCACTTTATACACACCGTAAATTTTTGAGTCGCGATTCAGACTCATACCAAATTAGAAACCCACGCCTGCTATTTTCTGGCGCGATGAATAGTGGCATATCATTCTTGGTTCACCACTTATATAGAGCAGCTTCATGAAACCTAATATCTCTCTGATGAGATGGTAATTTTTAAAACTTAATATGAAACAACATAACACGTGAAGGTAGTTGAAAAATACTGCGGCAAGTTTGGACTTCTGTTTACATGGTTACACGCATTAAGTCGCTACATCTGTTGGGTAGCCACAGTCGCCATTACGGAACCCCTCGATCGAGTCTACATCTGTTTGTGATTTTAAAATGCCTCAACCCGTTGAGAATCCCGCCCACTGAGAAGTGCGGTCGTTTCCCTGTGCTGAAGGCTTTACATCAGTAGACATGTATCACCAAATCAGTAAAGTGTATTGTGAAAAATTCATGAGTGATGCAGAAAATGGTAAGGATCTTTAAAGATGGCCGATGAGGAATGATGTGGGAAACCATCAGTTCTTACAAAATTTTCTGATTCAAAAATGGACTATAAAGTGAAAAAAACACGATTCATAATTTGGTCCTTAGCTGATGCAAAAGCATCGATATTGGCATCCATAACTCTATGTATCTATTATATTTATGCAGATGCTAAAGCATCTGTATAGGCTTTCCTATCAATTGTAATCCATGCGGTAATTGAAATTGAAAGCAAAGCCATTTTCCTCACAAAAGTTCTGTAACATGACAGACTTTTAGTAATACATATTCACCGCAATTTGCCAATTTTACGATTAGGTACGTTTAGGTCGATGTGTTATTGTCATTTTTTCGTTGCATTGCTTGTAACTGCACCGCAAACATTTCATTGCAGATTTATTGAACTTCTTTTTTGGAATATTTTCTACATCTCATGACAATTTGGTACTTTTCTGAAGATTAAATTGCTCTGTCGGAATGAAATAATTCATTTTGAAGTCCTCAGAAAAATTTGAATTCAGACACCGTTGACTTTTGATCCTTTTCCGAAGAATTTTCTTATTCTAACTTTATTAAACTCGCTCGATAGAACAACATCTAAGCAGGAGAAATTAAAAATGAGAAGTTCACAATTTTATAA